TCAGCTAATTATAGGTATCTTCTAACAGAGGTTGGGTTGCGCCCAAATATCCAGTGAGTAGGGACCTTTTGAGCGTTTGATCGATAACTCATTACGCTCTAATTGACAATAAATAAATGAGCAATAAGACTTCCTCAAAAGACCAGCGTAATGTGTTTTATCGAAGCTGCCGAATTTGCTCTGAATTTATTTAAATTTTTTAAACAACTAAACACTCTTTTATTTTATTGGCACTTCTTCAGCAACCAAATAATATATTTTCATACATAAATAATATACTTTATTATTGTCCAGAATTTAATTAAACTAAAGGAATTTAGAGCAAAATCGTATGCGCATGAACACGTGATGCACTCATGAGGATATTGCAATTTGGTTAATTACAGAACCGAATCGCAATATTCCGTTTTGTTTTATTTGCTTCACATTACTATCACACATTGCAAGGAACATTATTCCAGCCTATCCATCGTGATACACTTTCACGCATAGATGCCGATTACCTATATCGATAGTCACTAGAAATATTTAAACAAACATTATAATGATACCACAATAATACTCCTTGTAATGCCATTCGGCTTCGACCACTCAACTTACAGTCTAACTTTCCGCTTGCATCGTTCTCTTTAACACGTAGCTATGTTTTCCCTCGACTTGTTCCAGGCCCTAACCGAGCTTGCTCTCTAATGTGACCGCCATACTAACGCCACATCTAATCGATCGAGAGAATAAGGCGGGATTGATTGTGTAGCGGAGGAGCGTCGCAAGGTGGGGAAGTTGCAGCTGCGGCCGCCTGCGGTCGCCGACCCCCTGCCGACTCCCGACAGCGAGCTGGAGGACGCGGCGACGCTGGCACACGCCATCATCGCCAGCGAGCTGCGCACGCCCACCGTTTCGCCGCCCGAGGCCGCCGCCGCCGCCTCGCCCCCGCCGCCGCTGCAGGAGAAACGTCTCTCTGTAGAAGGGCCCGAAGTCCCCACGCCGCCTATCTCGCTCGCACAGATCGGCGTCAAGCCCGCGCCCAAGGCTAAGCCGACCACCGCCGCCCAAATAGAGTCCTCGCTAGCAGACAAATCTGAGCCCGCCGCGACCGCCGACCAACCGGCGCCTAAGAAGAAGGTAGTCAAAAAAGTTAAGAAGGAGACCACCGCCGCCGGCGGCGAGGCGCCCGTTCCGCCGCCGCGCAAGAAGGAAAAGAAACCCAAAGAGAAGTGAGCGCCGTGCTCTTCATAGTTCCTCTGTGCCATAAGTGTAGCCTTACCTGTCTAATTTTAATCTTTATTTAATTTTCGAATATGCTTTTATGTACTGCGTAATCTTTATGTTAGAATTAATTATATGTCGTCGTCATCACACGTCCATGTATCTTTTTGTTTGAAATTTTTACTCTTTATGTTAACTAAATATTTTTACATTTTAACTTTATTTATTTTTAACAGTTATTTCGGTTTTTTAAATTGATTACCAAAGGATCAACGTATTTATTGAAACGAAGTTTTTATGTAATTTTTGTATTAAAATTATATTTTGGAGTTGTTGAAGTTTTAATTGTGTCTATCGTAACAAATAGGCAAAGTAGGCGCCTCCTAGTTAGATTGCCTACTCTACAAGGATTTCCACTTTTCCACAACGATTTGTCTGCATCCAGTTGATCCAGTATATTAAAACAAAATATTCTTACTGAATTAGTTACTTGAATGTATGGGAATAAATTTTATTTTTTGGTAGTGAGACGGCACTAAAAGATGATTTATATCAAAAGTTAGTTTTTTTTATTAAATGATAATATACAGCTCGTCACTATTTACGCCAAAAACAAGTTTTACGGTATTAAAAATCGATGGAACCGAATTATTAAAAAAACATTACATCACACAACATTAAAAATGCTAATCAGCGCCATCTGTTATGGTTTCTAGAATATAAATTAAATAAATTGAAAGCGTGCTTATCGGTGACCTGCCGTCAGTTTCGAGCCTGTGGCAGGCCTTTTTGGAGTTAAATTCTATTGCTTATGTCTTAGACAAACTGTCTACTCGCTATCAGCTATCCTACGAACATTTCTGAGCTCTTACTGGACGTCGATTCCAGTCAAATGACGATTTCATAGAGAGGTTGACATGAAAAAACGGTCTTCCCTCTGCGATGTGCGCCGGCGCTGTTCAGAACTTGGTCTCGGGATAAAGCCACCAGTCTCCCGAAAGCGTCTTAAAACTTTCGAAACCCAGGACTGGCTTATTAGGCGCTGACGTGCGACAGCCCGCTGGCTGAGCCCTTCTTGCAATAGTGCAACGATTTGTGCTGCTTCTGAAGGTGTAGAATCCCAGGTAAAGTGTCAAAAGAAGCGGAGATGTGTATGAATCAACGTGCGAAAGCAAAAATCCGAAAACGCGTGCTTTTATAGGGGGTAAATAGGCCACAACTCGCGACGTATCAAACAGTTCATACATGTCTTTTTCGTTACTTCTTCACATCAGCCGGGATATCTTTTTAAATACTGGTGTGATTTAAATGAATTTGGTATCAATTTAAAGATAAAAGTTTAATTTTTAAAATGGTGCCACTTTTTTTGTTCCTAACAAATTCGTTAGTACACAAGATCGCGTGGAAACAACTTCATGTAAGTGATTCCATACTTTTGCTCGCGAGTGTAGATGGCGTTACAAGGTTTACATTAGCCGATCATGAAAGGTACCTACTCGTATATTATAACGTAGCGCGAGAATAATATAGTTCCAAAATACTGAACTGTCCTATCGATGACATTGACAGCGGGGCGCCACCGTCATTACCGAATCGCTGGTTCCGATTTTTGCCATGTTGGAAACCATAAAGTTGAACGATGGTAGCGCCCCCCTGTCATTGAGTTTGGCGGGACAGTTCAGCGTGGGTCATCTATAATAAAAAAATCAGTGATAACTATGTAAAGTTATTAAAAAAAAATATTTACGTAATCTTCTGACACTGACTGGTACCTCTACCTACAAAATCTTACAGATAGAAACTATAGAATGACTTCTTTTAAAAAAATTGCGATTTTACATTGCCGTATTTGGTAAACCACGCACTCTTGATAAATTCACCGCATGTTCCCTTCTTTAATGAGAAATACTGTATCTGCCCAATTAGGATAAAAACAAGTTTGGTCGAAGATCGTACAACAAGCTTGTTTGTTTCTGGGCGCAATTTCCAACAAATTACAGGCTAGGAACATTGGCGAGACCGCCTCCTGCCCCGGGTTAGTGTAGCTTTCTAGTTTTATTGCTTGGGATAATCTGATTTATTCAATAGAAATAAAGTAGGTAGGTAGGTACATGTTTAATTGTTCCAGAACTATTTTAATTTGATTGGCCTTCAACTAAGTAAGTAGCTGCAAGGAGTCAAAATGCCAAACTATCAAAAATTTTATATCTTTATGAGTTGCATCTCAAACTAATATTTTTCATAACTTGAAAAAATCGAATCGAACCCACGACATTTCGCTTGCCGGGCGACTGCTCTCACCATTATGGGCTACTGAGACATTGGTGCAGGACCCGTCGTGTTACAGACAGACAGACACATTTCATAAAAAGGTAAAATTACTCTTTTTTGCGTTGTGAACTCTTCAGTCTACGCATTAGAAAAATGATTGCCTTGTCGTTAAAAAAGTAAGTATTGGTAGATATTTCTACCTATGAGTGGATTGACTGATAGATAACGGTAACATGATCACAGGTTATAGTTACACGGCCATTAGCGATAGAGGAGCGTAACGATAACGAAACACGCTAGGTACTTAGGTAGGCTACTTATCGATGGCATTTTCATGGGTGGTCTTTAGCTTTACGTTTAGTGAAAGTCGCGTGTTAGAAGTTAGAACAGGGTCCCATAAGCCATAGTATTATAGTCATCAATTGATAATATCATTTATCTTATCGTTAGTTATCAAATGTAATGTACCTGACGAAACCATTAAAAATCTTGCAAATCCAATAAAAACGTCGGAACGGAAAGATCCGACCGGAATAACTTATTTGAAATTACTAGTAACTTGCACACGGTTTCAAAGTTCCCCAATTTAATACATTTTACATATTTTATTTAATCTAGGCAGGAATAACTTACGGTACAAGATTTTATTAAACCGACTTTTATTCAATGTCTATGTAAAAACCAAATAACAATAGCGACTTCAATTACCTTAGTAAATTACGGCAGTAAGGTAATTCGTGTATCTATTTTTTGTTGGCCCTACCTCATATTAGAGCGGTATCTTTGCTGGACCATTGACCGCTGAGTGCCGTGAAATAGTCGGCCGTGTGTACCTTGTTAAAAATGATTTCAACATGTAGATGATAGATTTGTAGTTAGTTACCACCAACATTTAGGTACCTATCTTAAAATACTTACTTTTAAATTAAAACTAACTATTCCAAGGTAGCTTAACGTAATTTTATTAATTTAAAGATTTTAGCCCAGTCAATCCTAGACTTCTCTACTAAGTTTTATTATTCTAATCTAAGCTCCTAGGTACCTATCTGAGATCTTTGTAATGAAAATTTACTGTTAGAGATCTATACCCGGAGCATGAATAATTAAATATCGTTCTCGTTATGTTACGGCAATATTTTTGCATGAAAAACAAAATAGCTCTGCTACACTCGTTATTATTATGCTACGCGCTGTTGCTGTTAGTCGCGCTGGTTTAAAGATAATCGTGCTCAGGGTACAACTAAACTACTAAAAGGTTTTGTAATGTCTTTTTTAGGTATTCAAATATTATATTACTTTCACCAACAATGCATGTTTTCTTTTTCATAACAATCGAAAAAAGGAAAATAATATCATTTGATAGATTAAACATACAAAAAAAATGCTCAGATAGCGCCATCTTTTGAGCTGTGGCGCGCTACGATGCAAACTACACGCACGCCAAGCAAGGAGCTTGCGTTCGCCGACGATGAACGACGATTCGTCGTCGACGAACGAATTTTCGAAAACCAGTTTGACGGAAACCGCGCTACGGAGAGGTGCTGTCGTGCTTTTTCGTGCAGAATCGTTCAGATTATCAATGTTTATAAACAGATTTCGTGAAGATATTCAAACTAATACGTTTATCCATGAATAAAATTGAAGACTTTTCGCTATAAGGTCTATAAATCGTGTGTTTATTTAGAATTTCTCGTGGATTTGTACGTTTTATTCGAGTGTGTAATCTTGTATCGGGGAGAAGTCAGCATCGTCGATTTTGTTGGACGGTGGATGAAAATGTAAACTAGTGATGAACTAAGACTGGGGATTGTTTAAAGTTTGGGGAAAAAGAAGATTTTGGAACAGTGACAATGAAGTGGTTTGTGTTGATACTTTTTGTGCCAATGTGCTTCGCACATCTCAATGTTTACCTGAGCAGCGCCGAAGTGTGGAGATTATTGGGTAAGTTATTTTGAAAAATAATCCGTTGGTTCATAATAAGTGTAATCTTTTCGTTGCACTTGCTTATCATTTTGTTTGTAGCACGATGATAACGTGAGATATAAACCGCCCGAATGATCGATTACCGGACAGCTGGTTGATTACCTAGTTCAGTAGGTAGGTAGTCTACTTATAATTAAGTTCCAGCCTCGATTTAATTGCCAATTTCTTTTCTGATGTTTAAAAACAAAAATGCATAGATTTTTTTGCATCTCATATCTACGCCGTTGTCGCATATTCAATTAAACCAATTTCTCAGTAAGATCTCTGTATCTGTCTGTGTCTATTGAAAACTTTATAATTTCCTGGAATAAAAGCCTTTAGCATTCTGGAATAGAATGGGTTTTTTTATATTTTTATTTGTTAATTTATGTTATTCTAGAAAACCCATAACTTGACAGGATTTTTACCTTTTTAAATATTATTACAACACTATAATTTAATTAATTTACCAACTAGGTAGGTGGGCAATTGGGCATACCTACCTACCTAACTATTAAATTAAAAACAATACTAGGAAACATCACAACAATAAAAGGTTCTTCTTTCTTATAAGTGCAGCTGAAGGATGCCTTTCAATATTGTACCTAATCACCTACCTATTAGATTCATTGTCATTTCAAATTGAGACAAGTAGGCCTATCCTGCCTAGATTTCCAAAATTAGGAACTAGGTAGGTAGATAAGTAGGCTAACCTACCTGTTCCTAATTTTGAAAAGCTGCCCAGTATCTATATCCTAGTTAGGTAGGTATATATATATGTTTAATAGGTACCAGGTTACCTGTTGGAATGCATACTCTTTGGAAGTTTAATCCTCTAGTAAGCAATAATTACTGAACTGACTGACTTTAAAAAGTTTAAAAAGTCGTCAAAATAAATTGTACCTACATGGCACTATCGACTTAGACGCACCGTTTAATGAGAACCTTCAACCTACCTAGATACCGGTATACAACCGCATTCATGGGCATGTCTTTGTTCAACAAGAAAGGAGCTTTAATCCTCACGACTTTAATTAGACGAACGTCACAACTAAAACTCATCGGCGCTCACAGCTTGTCACATGTCTTTGGAATAAGCCAAAGTGACAGATTTGAAAGGGCCCGTGCGCGCGCGCAGGTAATGGGCTTAGCGATGCGACGCTCCTTACATTATGCGTTTTTGTGCGTACCCCATTGTGGTACCTGCGGCCATAGAGCGCCATCCATCTTTGTCAACCAGCGAGCCATCTGCCTATTGTTCTTGCCTAAAAATTAGAATTATAATGAACGAAAATAAGGAACGGCAGGACATCGACTCGTCCTTGCGAGACATTGAATTTTAAATTACCTCAGTAAAGTTTGTTACAATTTCTAAACGTTCTTTACAGCGGCAATAAAAATTGTTCTCCGCTCAACAAGTTCTATTATCGTCAGTCATCGTTGAATTTTGTATTTTTAAAACAAACATGTGTTTTGAGAAGGTGCGGCTTATTATGAAACATAATTTATAGTGGGGGTTAATAACATAAAAATTAACATATCTCGCATCTTATGCGTTATCGGGTAAAATTTCCATCTTGTGAGTGTGCGAGCATATCTGGCTGGCCGATCGTCCCAGCAGGTATATTGTAATTTATTTGAGATGACATTTATGGAGACGGTATGGAGCTGAGCCAATAAACTCGACGCCTAAAACGTGTATTCCAACACCGAGGTAAATTTTATCTCGCTGCAATTGGATATTGGATACAGAAATAATCGCGAATAACTTTGTCATGAATGATAATTGACACGGAGTGGCGTGGTATTCGCGTAAACTATGAATATTATTAGGTAGGCCTGCCCGTAACAAGATCAGTTTATTATACACGACCATATTGAGGTTTGTTTGATAAAAGCTATTGATGGTAAAATATCGTTTAAATGATCTCTATACTTGATCTGTGTGCTAAAGACGAAATAAATCATTTAGAATAATGGCTACTGCTGATGAAATCACCTAGTCTAATAGTAGTACGAACTTCATCATAACTCTGGACTCCGCAGAATTAACTAGCACGTTAATTTCCTCGTAAAGTGTTACCTGATACCGTCAGTGCTGCCCGGATTCCGTAGCCCGGCGGGGCGGTATCAGACGACAGCATAGTTTATGGTCAGCCACTATCGTTCATCTGAATTCTTACCATTAGAGGACGGGCTAAGTGGCAGAGGACGAGCGTTTGCAGAAAAAACAATGAACTAATTGGACCGCTTGCAAATGAATTTTACCTGGGAAGTTGCCCAATTTTTACTAAAGAGAGAACAATGGTTGATGATAACAATGACGAAGCAGTCTGTAAATCGTCAGTATCTGTATGGGAGTACTCGGAAATAGTCCGAAATGGAAAACAAAAGGTCACTTGAAGTAGAGGTCATAAACATTGGCATTAATGTTACAAACACTTGAGCAATAAATCAATCGCTTACTGCTTATGTTTGCACCGATCCTGAAACAGGCTAAAGAAAGGTGCCCAGGCGCATTGTTCCCCAGACAGTCCCCGCGACAACGAACGTGGGCGCAAGGCGAAAAGGCGATACAGCTGCTGCGATAATTTCAACGAATGTGCTGTATCTGAAATATGATCCGAGGAATGGGGCTTAAACAAAACAAAGAAAATAAAATTAGCCACGAACACACTGATAAAAAGATGTAATACTTACCTATACATATTGAGGCACAAGACGAGTTACCTAACCGCAACGTCCGCAACACAATTTACAAGCAAATTACTTCTGTTGTAATTGTAAACGGATTGGAATGTTGAAAATTAGATTCAGTTTCTTATTACATTTGATTAGAAAAATAATAGAATTGAAGTAACAGTACAGCATCCGTGTAAGGGGATCTTCAAACCGAGTTTAATGTTTCATGGCTAGAACTGCGGTGGGCGACTAAAAAATCGAACGCAAGTAACTTGATACTTGAATAACGTGTAGGGTTTCGTCTAGACACCGTAACCTCTTCACACGGTTACCGGTACAACCCCGGGGCAATATAAAATTGTAAATTGTCACCGTTAAAGCACGTTCACTCCCCATCTGAACAAAAGTCATATTTAGCAAAAAATTTTAATCTCTGCAGGCCAGTTTTGTTATTTGGAACTTTTGGAAGAGAAAATATTAGCTTTTGCTTTTAGCTAGTTTCCGTCATTTCCGAGCCTTATCTCTGCGCCTTATCTAAAGGACGATCTTATTTTTTCTCCAAGACCTATGCCAACATTATCACCACGTACGTCTACGTGTAAATAGCCCCGTCTCGAGGCTTATCCTTTGCATCCGGACCTTCACATCTCCAGATATACTTTTTTTNTTTTTTTTCTTCAAAGCCATACCAACGAAGGAATGAAATAATGGAACGCTCGGAATAGATATTGTTATTTTAATAAAATACTATTAATGCCCTATTCAGAGAGTGGCACTCGCCTTTCACCCTCGCAGTCGTCGTTTAGAGAATTAACAATGAAATATTTCAATAAACAGCGAGCGATGGCGCTATATAAATATGGGCTCGCGTCCTTCTCAAAAATATTTTTTATGTAAATACGCGTTGACACGTTGATGATGTGGAGTGGGGCCTAAATAAATTTAATTTCACGGCCGGTCGGTCCACTAGCTGAGTTCTAATCTGTGGGGGTGATGAAACTGCCTGCACCACGACAAAATTAATGTTTCTTCATGCGAATGCAGAAAATCCTTTGGTGCCATTTGTGATTTTGAATAATGAAGCTTTGAAATGCGTCGGAGTTATTTGAGGTTTAATTTAGTGCGCCACTCATATGTCCCATCTCAGTTCATTTAACAGCGGGAGATTGGATCCAAAAACGCTGGAGATGCGATAATCCTAGGGTAAAATCTCGGCGTAATCTGTGAGCTTAGGCAAGTGTGTGCGCAGACGAGCCAAATTGAATTAGTGCATACAGGCAGGCGCTGCAGGCGATAGAGGGATTATTATGCGCGTTACATGAATATGCAGCTCGTTATTTTCAATTACGAACAGCGCTGCAATCCTTTAAAACCCTTTAATCCAGTGAAGTGCCTCATGCAATTATAAATGGTCATTGTCATTGCAATTTAGAGGTTTGTCATAGTGCTGTTGACTTAATTTTAGCACGACATTATGCTGATTTCATTCTTGAAATTCCTTTGAGGGTATGCTGCACGCTTCGTTTATGGAATTATTTGAAAATTACAATTTAGTTTTGTTTTTAATCTACTGCAGACTATACTATATCTACCTAGTACAAAAAGGAGCAAGTAGGTACACGTGCAGAATACATTCATACTTTTTGCAGTACGAAAAAAAGAATACCGCGAAGGGACACGTACAGAATTGGCAACCCTTTTTCTCTCACCTCAATAATGGTTCGGTCGCTGAGATGCGGGCATCATAATGCCTGTTATTGTTGCCCCGCAGCAATCAAGGCAGACTGATCGGCGATAACGACTAGGATTCACACTACCTGCTGTAATCCGTGCTTGCAGATTATCGGGAATGTAGCAGACTGTTTCAATATTCGGGGGTCATTTTGCTGACGTCTATTTACTTCTTTCCGCAATTAGTCAATGCTAACTAACAGTCTTTCTGTGTAAACTACGAATTTTATCTGTTTGCAGTAAGTAGCAATATTTGTTTTCCACAAAATGTCGAAGCCGTTAAGCTTCTGTTTACTATGGTTTGCAAACAAAACAAACACAAAGCTCGGCAGTGTATAGACTTACACGCTGGCAGTGTATCCAGGTCACCTCGGCCACAGCTGAATAAATAGATCTTTTATAAATAACGCGAAAGCGTCAGCCACCGAATGGACACGGCCAATTTGATCGTTCGACTGAATGTAACATTCTTTGATTAATTTTCACCTGCCTGAAATTCTAATAAATAATTTATTCCATGAAAAAACTCGATTGGTTCTTTACGCTTCTTTCATCTTTAGAACAAA